GAAGAGTCAGCCGACTGACAGACACAAGGCAAAAATGCTCCAGCTCACTAATAACCAGGGAAATGGACAAATGCCAGTAAGTCCTCTGAAAACGTTTTCAACGAGGAACAGGTGTGGTCAGAAGATACCCTTTCTTCCAACGGGTAAGTTGAATGTCGGGTAGAAGTCCCCAGGCATAGCTCAAGATGCAAAAGGTCCAGACCCCGGATTTGGCAAGAGATCTAAACAGCAACATGGCAGGCGCAGAGCTGCTGGCCGGGACCCTAACCAAGCCCCTGCAGAAGCGCCCATGCAGACTGACTCCTCAGCGTCGGAATTCTCCTCCCCTGAAAACTGCTGAAACCCTGTTTTGTCCAGGGATTATCTGATCCATTGCCAGCTACACGAAGTTCCCAATTTACACACATTATGTTCCAGAAATCCGTGTCAATGTAAATGGGACAGATCTCTCCATAAAAACAATGTTGTTAAACGGCGACAAAGTTCTTACCGTTAGGCTCTATTTCATCACACGGCGGGTCTACAGAACTTCGAACGTGCCCATTATTTACAGCACGATTGCAACGTGAAAACTCATTTTTTAAAGGGAAGCTCCTAAAGTTAAAAGAAGAGTGCCCTCAGTAGCCCAGCTTTTGCAACGGAGCATACAGAGCGGGATGCTAGGAGCTAACACCCGCACAAGTGCGCTCTTGGAACTTTCTCCTCACTCATCTTCGCAACAGTTCTGTGAAGTAAATACAGCTACTATTCCCATACAGTGAAGGACACACACAGGAAGGTCACATGGCTAACAGGTGGCGGAACCAGGCCTGATGCTCGGGTCCACGGGCTGAGCCAGGGTCTGGTAACCCACGGGCCGCAGCTGGCCCGGCGCCTGTTCTTGTAAGTCACGTGCTGTTGGAACGCAACCAAATCCGTCTGCTGACATCTCGTCTGGGGCTATTTTCATGCTCCGAAGGCAGAGGTGGGCAGCTGTGCCAGAGACCCCGTGCCGTGCGAAGCCGGAAGCATTTATCAGGGACCCCTGAAGGAAAGTCTGCTGGGCACGGCTAACCCATCGCTGGCCACCTCTGAGGGGAAGCAGCCCCTCTTCCTGGCCTCTGACCACACGCCTCACCACGGGGAGCGGGAGGAAGGAACAGGAGACCTGGATGTCCTCAACAGCGACGGGAGGCCCCGGGGCTCACTGACCAGCACAGGGGGTTATGTTTATTTCCCAATACGCTTCCTGCATCGTTCCCAAAAAGATCTGAAGCAAGGCTCACAGGTACAGAACCTAACCGCCACAGATGGGGGGACGGTTTGCTTTATTCATTGCTGGAAACCTTATTAGTGAACAAATATATAATTTATGTTTGTGAATCGGGGTCCACATGTACTTTATTTGAAGACAAACACGGCACAGGTTAAAGGCCCGCGGACGCGCTGCCCATGAACATCACAGTCGAGGTTGTGGCTTCGACTTTTAGGCAGACGAACTCCAGTGGGACAGCGCATTACAGAGTAAGGTCATTTCCAACCTTCCTGGGATTCTCCTGGGCTCCTAAGAGCTTCACTCACTGATCATTCTGTTTGCCAAGATTCTAGAACCAACAATAAAGTTGAAGTCTTTCCCGTGTTACGAGCAGATAAATGCCCGTGCGGGGCCGGGTGTAAGCGCTCATTTGGTTTGAATTTTCTTTCATACGACGATGACTTTTAATTTCCGGGGAAGGATTCGAAAACCAGAGTTGCGTTAACTCTTCCTAGAAAACAGAGCTGGACACGGAAAGAACAACCCTATAGACTAGAGGTTCTACAATCCCACTGAGGAAGGCTTGTTCCTAACAAGACTAACTGTCGTGTTGTGTTTCAGCCGATCCTGATTCACCATGGAACTTGAAATTTTAAAGAAAATTGCCCTCAGCTGAATCAAACTGGGAACGTATCTGTAAAAGAGTGGGCGTGGGGCGGGAGCACTGGTATGGAAAGCAAGTCCACGGCATGTATCACATGGAGGGAAGGGAACACAGGGGATTCTGTAGATGCTGGGAGGCGGTCACGCTGCGGCTGGGGGCTGAGAGCGACGAAACAGGGGCGTCCAGAGGCAGCGTCCTAACTCACAGCCTGATGCCACTGGGGCCCGTTCGGTCAGGCTGGCTGCCCCCCAGGGCTGCTGCCACGTGGACCTGGCCTTCACAGCCTGGCTCACAGCAGGCTGGTGCTGGGGAAACCCCGCAACTTCCCCATTTCCAGACCCCACCACTGGACGATCGAGGCCCTGCCTAGAATCCGATCTGCCCAGTCTGAACGGCCGCACGAGAGGGGTCCCCAGACTCTCAGCATCTCGGTGATGCTGTTGTAGCGGCTTCCCACGCAGCCTCTTGCAGAGCGCTTTACAAATGCTCTAAGTGAGCCGCGGTGACTGGCAAAGCCTGGGGACACAGCCGGGGGGCGCTGAGAGGAAAGGCTGGTGCGTGGTCCACCAGGCGCCCCGGGCACAGCGCTCACAGAGCTGGACGGGGGAGGCCCTTCAGCAAAGCCCGCGACGCCACCGCCGGGTCCGTGACGTTCACACCCCCAGAGCCGAGGCGTTGAACAGCGCCAGGCTCAACGCACGCGGCCCCTAACCCGCCCCTGGAGAGAAACGCTGCCCTCCAGCCTCAAGCCCTCTGGCCCGGGATGTTTTGTTTTTGTTTTGAGTTTGGAACGCTGACCTTTGTAAAAAGCTCAACTCACTGCCCAGAAAAACTGGAAGGTCACTCACCAGGAAGCCACGGAAATGAAGCCTGAGACGTGCGTCAGTGTTTTTCCACCAGCAAAGAGAAGCCTCAGACGTTACCACGAGCGACGCCACCGCGAGGCCTGAGCACCCTCCTCCCCAAGGTGCGCCCCGCACCTCCCGTGGCCCTGAGCCCCACGGCCGGTGACCTGCACCTGCACCCCACGCGGGACGCAGGCAGGGTCTCCTTAGCCCCTGGGTACCCTTCCGTCCCGACACTCTTCTAGAAGGGTTCCCTTCTCAGGGGGCGGGGGGCATGGGGTCAGGGAAGCAGCCCTCGTGGCAGCGTTCCAGGCACCTGTGCTCCTGTGGGGGGGAGCGGGGGGATGGTGACTGGAAGGAAGAAGCAATCAGACAAGAGCCACGCCTCGCAGAGGCACCTGAAGCGCCCCCAGACCCTAGCAGGCAGCCTTGCACTTGAATGCTTCCAGCTATGTAAGCCCGCACCTGCACCCCATGCTTCCAGCTATGTAAGCCCGCACCTGCACCCCATGCTTCTAGCTATGTAAGCCTGCACCTGCACCCCATGTTTCCAGCTATGTAAGCCTGCACCTGCACCCCATGCTTCTAGCTATGTAAGCCTGCACCTGCACCCCATGCTTCCAACTACGTAAGCCCGCACCTGCACCCCATGCTTCCAGCTATGTAAGCCTGCACCCCATGCTTCCAGCTATGTAAGCCTGCACCTGCACCCCATGCTTCCAGCTATGTAAGCCTGCACCCCATGCTTCTAGCTATGTAAGCCTGCACCTGCACCCCATGCTTCTAGCTATGTACGCCTGCACCTGCACCCCATGCTTCCAGCTATGTAAGCCTCTTCGCAGAGAACTTCATCTCTGTTTCTTGAGGGCACAGATTACAAGCTGGTTCTCGCTGGTTGGATCCTCCTTGCGTCTAAGGCAACAGATACATGTTTGACTCGCACGAAGTTCAACCTTTAATTGGCTGCTGATGGTAAACTGAATCAGAACATGCGCCGCGTGAAAACCTGGCCTTGCGGCTTCCCCGGAAGCACTGGAAGATCCGGCAGCACGGGACCCGCTTCGAGCTTGGCCGCCGTCGGCTGGGGCCCGGCGTGGGGGTGCCGCCTGCGTGCGCACCGCATCCCGCTGTCCCACCCGCCCAGAGGCCCGCTGTCACCGCCGTTTACTTATATTCTCGGGGACCGATTTCACCCCTTTACGCTCCCAAGGGCACCCAGGCTCGCAGCCCCTGCCCTTAAGTGTTTGCCATCAACAGCCTCTTTAACCAGGTATCGGTGGCAAAGCACTTTGAACATTTTTGTGTTTTCCGTCCTTCGGAACCCAGTCTCTCTGGATATGACCTGTATGCGTCTCTGGGACAGGATTTTACTTGGAAGAAGAAAGTCACGGCAAGAAGAGGAGGTGCATGAGAGCATCGTCCCGTTAGTGCCAATGGCGCACGAGAGCATCGTCCCGTTAGCGCCAATGGCGCATGAGAGCATCGTCCCGTTAGCGCCAATGGCAAGTCTCTGTGCAGACGCGTGTGTGCACGCGTGTGCTTCTTCAGGGCATCCTAATGAGCCCGAGGAAGGGAAAGCTTCCCAAGGGACGGGCCAGGTACAGAGACTCCGTGGGCTGCTAGAATGAATCCCTCCAACAGCCAGCGCACAGGTGATTAGAGAAACAGGGAAAAATGAAAAGCTGTGACTTGGAACATAAGGCGGATGCCTGGAGGAAAGAACGTTCATGAAAGGCCGAGACGTCTGCTAAGTAGTGAGAAGCAGGGATTGACAGGAGGAGAGAGAGGGAAGTCGGGGTGGCAGGTGACAAAACTGGGACAGAGGCAGACACGCACCCAGGGGGAGGATGAGAAGGAGCTGCCCTTCCCAGTGATCTGCAGTGAAAATTAAGCTTCTGGCCTGATAATGACACCTGAACAGCCTCCCAGGTTAAGGCCCAGGTGACTTCCTGCCCACCTGAAGGAGGCTAGACCCGGGCCGTCTCCCCGCTGATGCCAAACCGATTCCTTAAACAGGAACCAGCCACACTCCCTTCTGGGCTGTTTCCAATCTCCTGTCTCTAAACGATCAAAGCCACAGAATGTCAACAGCTTGCAAAGGAAGGTGACTGCGCAACATTTACGCTTTACGTAAAGCACAAGAGTAGCATTTAAATGACGGTCTGCCTTCCAGACACGGGATCACAAACACCTGGCCCTTCCTGGAGCGGAGCTTTCTACGCGGAAAGGTGGTCAAGCCGCCGCGCTGTCTCCTCACCTCGAACTTCTGCCTCAGCTCCGCGTTGCCTTCCTCGTCGCCTTCTGGAATGGGCACGTTGTAGTACTCACCCTCCTCTTGGTTCAGCAGCTTGTACCTTTCAGAGACAGGGGGGAGGAGGGGCTGAGCCCCACGCTGGTACCACCCAGGCTCACCCGCACCCCAAGGCTCTAGTCCAGCTGTTTCTGAAATGCATCCCCCGGGGAGATGGTACCCAGGTAACTTGGTGATCAACAGTCACTCTGGACTTAAACCGGCCCGTTTCCGGAATCTCTAGTCGTGCTAATATTTCCGGACAATTAACCCTTGGCTCACACAGACACGCTCGGGCTTCCTCACCATCCACTGGCCGGCATCTTCATCAGCTCCGAGACTCCGAAGGAAAGGGACCCCATGAAGTCGTTCCTGGTTGTTCGATCCCAGTCCCAGATCTCTACGGACAGTCGTCGGTCTTTATCTGAAGGTTTTAATTTGCTACGAAAGAACACACACACACACACACACACACACACACACACACGGTTATCTTGATCATGATTTTGGGGGAGATGTCACATGCTCATGATCTGAGCCTGAGATTCAAAAAAATCTTGTATTCAATTCTCTTCCTGGGGTTCCCCATCATCAACAAAGTACCAGCCCCTTGGCAAACGAGGCTCTAGACTAGGGGTTAGCAAACTATGAGCCAAGGGCCAAATCAGGCCCACTGCTTGCTTTTGTAAATAAAGTTTTATTGGAATACAGTCATGGCCGTTTGATGAGACACATATTGTCTATGGCTGCTTTGAACCTAGACCAGCATAGCTGTGTACCTGCAACAGAGACTGTATGACCCATAAGGTCTAAACTATTTACCATCCAGCCCTTCACAGAGCAAAGCTGGACAGCCTCTGATCTATATCCTAGGCAGAGCTACCTTCTGGTTGTGCACAAATGCTTCCTGTGTTCTCCTCTACGAAGAGGACCTCTTGCTGTGCTCAGCTGCGCTCAGTGCTTTCTTGCCCCTGACTTGCTTACGCCCCCTCTCCTCCCTTCTTTCCCTCCTCCCATCTCTGCCTCTGAAATCCTCACATTCCTTTCACATCCACTTTAAATGGCACCTTCTCCAGGAAGTCTTCCCTGCTGAGACATAAGGATAATCTTCCCATTTCAGTGGCAACAGCAGCTTCTATGGTACTCACTTACTCTAAAGCCCAGCTCATCACTGCTAACAATGTGAGGGAGGAAAGCCATCAGGAAGAGAGGATTCAACTTACAACGTAAAGGACTCATTCCACTGGGGGTTCAGTGTGGAACGGATGGTTTTGGTTTTTTGTTTGCTTTCGTTCTTGGGGTCAGGAATAAGCTTCAGCTTCACGTAAGGATCTGAAAGCCCATTTGGATCCATAGGGATGAGATTTTTTGCATCTCGTACTGTGAAGAGAGAAGGAAGAAAGATCCAATGTTACAAAACTAGAACAGACCCTCGTTGCCGGGCGTCCTGCGTCAGGACCCAGCTGATCGAGAGACGTCAAGATGGCGTTGAAAGGAGAGGAGGTTTGGATCCAGAGCCTCGGACCCTCAACACGAGAGGAGCTGCCCCCCGCCACCCCTGCCAGGGGTAACGGGTGTTGGGGAGGCCCCTGTGGTCAAGCCTTGAGACGCGGCACCAGCCTGGTCCAGCAGCACCTGTGACACCTGGGTCACACCCCAAACCTGTGAAGCAGCATCTGCATCGTAGTGAGATCCCCAGGGGTCACTGGCAGCCCCCTCTGGGGGAATGGCCCGCCTCCCCACCCAAGCAACCGGCAGACTAGTCTATGGTCCAGCAGCACTTGAACTCCTGGCAGTCACCTCTTTCCTCTGCAAAGGCTGGTGGTTTCTAAACTGGCTGTACGTTAGGATCGCGTGGGAGGGGGTTGAAAATTCCAACGCTCACAACTCACTCAGAATCTCTAGTCGGGGCGGGGGCAAGCTTTTAGACGCTCTCCAGGTGAACCCTTGTGCAGCAGCGGCTAGAGCTACCAGTGCACAGGCAGTAACGCAGGAGGTGCCTCACAGGCGCTGCAGCCTGACACCAAGGGCAGGCCCACCTTCCAGCAGCACCTGGGGCGGCACCTGGGCACCGAGGAGACACACAGACTCACAGGCCCCACTCCAGAATTTCAGACTCTGAAGCATTTCCTAAGACTCCAGGTGACCCCAACGTATATTCTAGATGAAGAAGCACTCGTATGCAAACGTAAAATAACGAGGAGGAAAGGCTGCTTCTCCCGCAGAGGAAGGCAGGCTCAGAGGTGCAGCTGGCGGAGGCTAGTGACAGTGCGAGGGCTGAAGCCCCTGCCTGTCAATCACCCGTCACTCTGATATGAAGGGACAGAGGCCGGAGCCCGCACACCGATGTCTTCCTCACCCTCTTCCCCAACGTGGCTGAAGTCTCCCATCATCGGGGCCCCTGGTGAGCCGGATGCCATGGGGACACATCCACCTGGGACCAGGATCTCTAGGCCAGCGACTTTCACAGTGCAGCTCCTGGACCAGCAATGTCAGCATCACCGGCTGAGTCAGAACTTGGGCAGGGGGTGCGGTCAGGTGACCTGTGTTTACCAAGCCTCCGGGTGATTCTGTGGGAAAGCTGGCGGACCACTGCTCCAGCCCGTTAGCATACATGGTCAGCTGAGTTTGATTGTTAAATGAGGGGTTTGGAAGAATTTCAGAAGAAGGTGCTAGCGTTGGCAGTGGGCAGGGATAGAGGGGGATGGAAGGGTGCTAAAGACACTGGGTCTCCGGGCAGAGCCCTAATGGCAGAAGCCACAGACGAGCGTTGCCCGAACGACCGGGGACACGCTGAGTGCTGTCACCTTCCTTGCCTGGAAGCCTTGGCCCAGGAAGGTGACAGGTGGGACCGTACTCTAATGGTCTGAGGGGCAGTGAGCTGCCTCAGGGCGACAAGCCACAGGGAAGCCGGCCGTGTGTTTCTCGTACACCACTTACGCCCTCCAAGGATTCTTCCCCGTGAGACAGTGCCTAACCTCATCCAGCTGGCAGGGGACAGACAGAAGCAAGTGCGCACCCCAGGATCTGGAGCTCAGCCGACCTGCTTCCAAAGCCCACCTCCATCGTGTAACCCCAAGTACTGGAAACTTAAGTTCATGAGCCTCTGTTTCTTCATCTAGAAAAGTGAACAGGGCGTATTTCCAGGGGTACAGGATTGTTGCGAGAATGACATAACGTATATAAAATGCCTTATACTGTTGGCAGCTTGGAAAATGGCGGAGGAAAAAAAAAGACTGCACGACGTGAGCACATACGATGCCCCAGACGTGGTGTTTCGGCCTCATCCCTCTGCCCACAATTTCAAAATCTTCAGTGAGGTAGGAGGTCTCCAGGGGCCCTGGCCACCTGAGAATTCCCCCAAGCTCACGGAGGTTTTAACGCAACGCAGAATAAAACAGCAACCTGAGTATCACAAGAGATGAAAACTTTGAGCATAGAAATGAAGTTCTCCCACGGAGAATGGAAGGGCCAAAGGTTCTCTCCAACTGATCACTGGAATGAGAACCAGACGCTTTTTAAAAGGCGGAACAAAGCTCTGGAACGTCTAACACGGAGGCTGCATCCCAGGTGAACTAACGAGGAACCGTCAAGGCTGCCAAGAGTCCTGCCAGGTGCAGAATGAGTGCGGGCCCCGGCTTTTCCATCCCAGAGCGAGGGTCCTGACGGCCGGCACACACACAGCCATCTACGGCCTATGTCTTCTGAATGGTGATGAGTTAAAGTCTTGATGGGATTAAAGCTATGAGCTTCCTACTGAGATACTATCATTTAAGTTGAAAACAGTCATCCATTCCAACGGTCACCCAAGTAGACAGTGGGTCCACATTTCAATTTCTTAGCGTAGCGGGGAACAGCCCCCCTGCCCGGACACCTGAATCGGGCTTGGGAGCCACCAGCTCGGGGGCCCACCTGCTGGGAGTGTGGGCTCGGGGACCAGGCCGCCTGTGTTTGGGTTCTGGCTCTGCTGCTCTGTGGCCGTGTAACCCTGGCAACAGACTTAACCTTCCCATGCCTTGGTCTCCTCATCTGGGAAATTGTGAGAAGTATATACGTTCCTACATGTAAGTGCTTGGAACAGTGCCAGGCACACGGTAAGAACCCAATAGTGATTATCATCCTTGTTGTTGCTGATGGAAGTTTCTGGCAGAGAACACAACCCCGAACGTTCAGACGTTCAGAAGCTGGCCTGAGAGCTTATGCTGTGAAGAACTGTGTGAGGCCTTGGCATTCGCTTTTCAGAATGACAGTTTGTTGTCATTCTAGAACTTTAACAGAAATACAGAATATAATTATATGACCATCTTTGGGCTTGAGGTGCCTATTTTGAAAGGATTGGATGTCAAGCCCAGCCTTGAGAAAAAGCAGCCTGGGGTTGAAAGTTTATATAATTTCCTGATAATGTTAAGAGATCCCTTCTGGACAAAATCCATTCAAATAAGATGATGGAGATCGAGGAATACCTCCACGGTGCCCCAGAGATGCCTGATGTAGGTGGCCAGGCGAGCCCGGGACATGTGAGTTTTGAATTAAGTGTCCAGGCATATGGGGGGAAGCTCACATGAGCTCTGGACCGGACAGCCCTCGCCAGACCGGGGAGTCTACCTCGGAGGTGTCCCAGCGTAGACGGAACAGCCAACGCTTAGGAAGGGAGCCAGGGGTTTTGCCAAGCACCTGCCTGATGGGGAAGCGGAGGTGAGGATGCAGGACAGTGGGCAGGAGGGGTGGCCGCCAGGCTCTCTCAGGGAGGTGAGCCATGCCCACAGGCTCGTAGCCAGGGACTGCCTGAGGCCCAGCTGAGGATGCACAGTGACGGTCAGGTTCACCGTGCGGGACAGAAGCTGCAGATGGTGGCTGACCGCTCGGGGCAGGATAACTTAGCGGCCAGGAGCGTGGGCAGCTGGCTTCAAATCCTTGCTCTAATGCTGATTAGCTGTGTGACTCGGGACAAGTTACCCCACTTCTCAGCTTGTTCATCTGCAAAACAGGAACCATAACAGTGTCTGTGTCACAGGGTTGCTGTGAAGATTAAGTGAGCTAATACATGCAAAGTATAGAGAAGGGGACCTGGCGTGTGTGAGCTGTGGCCTAAGCACTGGCCATCACTGCTCGTGTTACACAGTGTTTGCTACCTCTAACATCATCGTCACCACCACCGCTGCCACCTGGCCCTCCTGGCCAATCCAGGAAGCAGGGCTGTCTCCTCAGGGTAAAGACACCAAGCTTACTAAAAGGACAGTTCATAGAGCATGGAGTTTCCAGACCTCGGGGTCAGGCCAAAGTTCAATAGTCAGCTCTTAGTTGTTCCAAAATAGCTTGGGATTAAAAAAAAAAAACCCAAAAAACAAAACCCCAATTCCATGCAATCCTTGATCCATTCAGAGAATGGTCCAGATGGTCTCTTGATCCCAAGAATATATGCAGCGTAAATTATCAAGTGTGACAATACAACAGACACCCCCGAGCTCATCCCTGTCACCTAACATAAAAGCGAACACCCCCGAACCCACCTAGAGCCCCCGTCCCACCTGCCTGCCTCCCTGGGGGTTTTAACCTCACGCTGAGGTCACCTTCGGGCACTCCGGCCGGGCACGGGGTAAGGGGAGGCTCTGAAGGCTTACAAAGCGGAAGTTTGGTCGAGGACACAGCTGCATCCCCGGCGCCCGCGGACTGGACTGGTCGTCACTGACGCACAGCGACCTTGTCCATCACAGAGTTCACATCTGGGCGGGGACACCGGTGATGCCCAAAGAGGTGCCTTCCGATTCAAGGACCACGCAGCCCTTCAAATGATCTGTTCTGCTTTAGAAAATAATTCTCTGCTGTTAGCACCTTCTTTCCTCCCTCTAAGAGCACGCTTGCTCGTGGCATCTGCTTAAAAAGCCAACAACGAGCACAAAGGTTCAGAACGGGGACTTGCTGTGAACGTCAGGCCTGTGGAGTGTGTGCGGACCCTGTGAGCCCCTGCCACCTCCAACCTCGCTCCACAGCAAAGGCAAGAGTAAACGAGATGCTATAATCCTACCCCACAGCACGGAAAAGCAAAAGTTATGTTTTCCGACACTACCAGAAACCCCCACAAACTCTTCTTCCTTTAAAGTTACCAAGAGCAAACGAGATGTGCATGCAAACATGCCGGGGGGACAGGCAAGGGCAGAAAACTGGCAAAGGGTCAGCGTCTGTGGACACGTGATCCTGGGGTCGTCTGCCATCAGGCAGCAGAGTGACGGTGCTCCCAAATCCGTGAGCCATGTCCTCAAACACAGAGCATTAGTTCTGAGAGTTATCAGACAGCCACAGCACCTTCTTCCAGAGAGCTCTAGACCCGTAAGTTAATTCCTTATAAAAATACGATCGCACTTGAGTGTAAGTTTAACGAC